CCTCAAGGGCCGTACCAAATGGTCTCGCGGGCCGTATACGGCCCGGAGGCCGGAGGTTCCCCACCCCTGCCTTGTATAATACCCGATTTAACGTTATTTGTCTCTTTATTTCTGTGTGTGTGTGAGCAGCCAGCTGCCAGCCATGGTGGCGTTACAGACTCTCCACCTGAGGAACACCCAGAGGACCCAGACCAACATGCCAACCAGCCTGGAGGGCCTGACACAGTTAGCAGGTAACACACATAGAGAAACTTGTTTTCTTCCAGAGCTTTTTTCGGGGCCTGGAACATTCTTCTTCTTCTTCCGATTACCTCTTGGCACGGTGGTACATTTTTCACATAGCAGTACAGTCAAAGTAAAACATTTCAGAGTCTTAAACATTCGCCACCTGACAGGCAACAGAGAAGCAGTCTTTCTCTCCCCGTGGAAACGATTATTCTCTAACACTATTAGTGGTGCATTTTCAGATGAAAACAGACTTCTTGACCATTGCTACTGACTACTAACTCATAAGAGAAGTCAATGTTTCAATTGCTAGATTAGGAAACAGATTAGGGAAACACAGTTGCTCTGGGGAAACATACTCCTTACTAACCCGTGTTCCCTCTGTCCTCCCGTCCCTCCCAGATGTCGACCTGTCNATATCACACCTTGTATAATACCCGATTTAACGTGTGTGTGTGTGTGTGTGTGTGTGTGTGTGTGTGTGTGTGTGTGTGTGTGTGTGTGTGTGTGTGTGTCACACACACACACACACACACACACACACACACACACACACACACACACACACACACACACACACACACGTTAAATCGGGTATTATACAAGGTGTGATATTGCCATTGCGACATTGGAGGATTTTGTCATTATCATTATAAATATATGAATGATCATGGTGTGATTTCTTTTGAATGGATCTGTACCAAACATAAATGTTTTGTTAAGTAGAACACAATTTATAGGCCTGTATTTGTGCAGCCCTGATGTGAAGTAAGAGGAAATAATGACAGAGTTCTGTCTCCTCACCGCAGCTGGGCATGCATCAGCGGGTTGTTGTTCAGTGTGAGCGTCTGCAGGTGGACGAGGCGTCTCATCTGCGGCGGCAGGCTGTCCAGCTTGTTGTCGCTCAGGTCCAGATACAGCAGGTCTGTCAGGTTGATGAACAGCTGGTTGGGGATGGCGTCGATGCTGTTGTGGCTCAGATTCAGAACCAGCATGTTCCTGCTGTTCTCCAGGTCCCGGGGGATCTCCGTCAGCTGGTTGAAACTCAAGTCCTGAAGGGGAATAAGGGGAAATGTGGCGTTTTTTTAAGACAATACTGTCAGGGAGGTAGAGTTATGTTCTATGTGTTGTTGTAAAAATGGTGGGTTGGTAAGCAGATACATTGGGATTGTGTGAGAGTATTACATACCAGCACAGAGAGGTCATCTAGCTGAAAGATGTCATCGGGGACTCCGGAGTTTTTCAGGTTGTTGGCTCTGGCTACCACCGCCTGTACAGATATAGAAACACAATCAGGGCAATATAAAAGCTACACATTGGTACGAGGAGAAAGGGGCCATATTAAAAGCATCAGATTGAAATGTACAGTGCTTATGGCTTGTAAGAAATTGCCACATGCTTTGTCTTGTGCGTGTGTGGGTGTCACTTACCCGTAGGTTGGGTAAGCTGGACAGTTCTCCATGTAGAGTGGTCAGGCTGTTGTGACTCACTGAAAGATGTTCCTGAAGAAGAACAACAGAGGTTTTGTTTACACACTGCACCAAGAAAGAAAATATCACCTATAACTCCATAAATACACTCTACAAGGTCCAGTGTGCAACGTACTTCTTGCACTAATTCTCATTGGTCACTAAACAGAATAATTCAACGGAAAACAGGATCAAATCAAGACTGATAAACACAGCCCAGACACTGTGACTCCTTGTTGAGATAGCAGACTAATCTTATTTACCTAAAACTGGTAAGAGCAAGCATGTTAGCGTGGATCACCTTTTCACCGCAGCCTGCTGAGTAAAGCTTTGGAGGTTCAGATTAGATAATCCTATCAAAGATACGAAGGATTAAAGTAAGGCTGAGTGTTTTATCAAATGAGGTTGAACTGTTCTCTAAATCTACTGATGTGAAGTCCCTTGTTACTCACACATTAAATATAAACAATTAACAATACTGTTCCCAACCATGCATTTATAGATGGCTTGGGGAATGACATTAACATAGGTTGCTATAGGTGACAACTACGATTTCAAGTGCAGTCCTGAAGGTCTCACCAGCTTCTGCAGAGAGGCCAGCTCCTCTGGGAGGTAACACAGTCCGGTCCTGTTCAGCTTCAGCCATCGCAGACTGCTCATACACTTCACATGCTCGGGGAAGTACCCGCCCTGTAACGACAGAGAGGAAAGGAAGGTCAATGCTAGAACTTTGTAAAGTTAAATCGAGAGGAAGTTGGTGGAGGGTGCAAATAAAACACCCAACATTGTCTGATTACCTAAATCTTTTGAGATTGAAATGTTGGTGTAAAACCCTTAGATGTAGTAACTATAATACATAATGGAGATATTTTTTTACTGAAACAGCTCAAAAAAGCTAAGTTCAAACAGGTATTTGTTTCCGGAAATGTTCCAAATGATTACCATATGTTTAGCTAAATGTATTAAACACAGCATATGAACCTTGTATATCCATAAGAATAAGAACAGTACATTTCTTGTATGCACCTACAAACCCTGATAGAAGTTGACAGCCTTGCTGGTTTATTGTGGGTCAACTTGTCAAGAACAACTACGTGATTTAAATCAACTACATGAGTTTTGAAAGCAGAGATTTAGCTAGCTGTGATGTGCAGTATTTTATAGTCGGGATAAGAAACCTTCCAGTCAGTCGTTATGATTCATCGTTCATTCAAATGATGTCATCCTGTACTATAGATATAAGCAGCCAATCCTTTAACAATAAGGTTATTTATCCAGCTTCGTACTATTTTCATACCAACATGGCAGCTAGCATTACGCACACAAATAGTTCTGACAGTTAGAATACATGCCAGATGATCTCAGCTGTCACCTCTGCCAGTTGGGCTGCTTTTAATTCCAGTGTCTCAAACTAAGCTCACAAAGTGTGTCTGTTTTCAATCTTGCAACCATGACGACATTGAGTCAACAAACTCTAAAACTGTAACCAAATGTATTGATGTGTTGGCCTTGTAGGTTAGTGATTGTAGTTAAACGCTGATAAAGCTGAGACATGTTGTGAAGGGAAGTTTGAGTCACAGAGTTAGCCAACAGTGAAGCTAAGTTTGCTAGCTAATGTGACGTTGAAACTAGAGCTAAAGATCCCAAACTACACAGAATGAGCTAACGTGTACCCATAACAAAGTAAAAAACGAACCCTTTCAGCCCATCCCTCTAAATAGAAAGTGGTCAAATGCCAGGAAACAGGCTAGTGACGGAAACCAGACAGCTACTTTGTCCATGTCAAACTGACAACTGGCTAACGCCCAATGCTAGCGACGTTAAGCTAAGCTAGTGTTTAGCGAGTTTAGCCTTTAGCCGTTTGTTGTGACTGTCTAACTTGGGTTAGCTTTAGCTAGCTAGCTCAACGTGTTAAACCGCGACGAATTCAATACCAGCAAAAACATATTGGAAGACTTACTTTAAAGTCGTTTCCACTGAGATCTACCCCCCTGATGAAGGGAAGAACTCCGGTGGAAGCCATTTCTGGTTGCTTTATCAGCTGCTCTGCCCTCAACTGTCTATTTTGGTTCAGAGGCAGGCAGGGTTGTGGCTGCGGCACACTTCTTCTTCGTTTGTTTTAATGGCGGGCGACAAACCAACGTTTGACGGTGCATGCCGCCACCTACTGTATTGGAGTGTGTATCGTCAAGACTGAAAGACAATTACATTAAAGAAAACCATGCTAAATTCTAGAAATAAAAACGGTATTGTTGACATATTTAATTAAAGACCGTTGAAAAACCAACAAACACGACGACACCAGTGTTGTGCAATATGTACCTATTTTGAATTAGTATTATTACTGGCTGCCTTCTGATTTTGACAATTGTAATTGTCTAATACGAATCTGTAAATTACTATTTGCAATATATGATTGTTCAACACGTTTTTTGTATACACTTCACTTCAGTATTTCTCTTTCTATAGTGAATCTTTACAACATAATAACACATGTTCAACTGTCTTCTAATCGGATGTTTTCATGATGAATAATGTATCATTGAGTCCAGTATGTCCTGATCTCATCCTGGAGAAAACTGCGCACATTCTTTTCTGCAAATTCCCTTTAAACTTTGACACTTTGACAGACTTCTGAATATTATTATAACCTCTACCAACAGTTACCGCCACCCGCTGTTCCGGAATGAACCAAAGGTTAATATTAGTGTGTGTACAGCGCCATCTAGGGGTTTTAACCAGGGACTACAATGCACCCAGGTCTGTGTGGGTGTCCCGTTTTCTACAAGGACTTGCTTATGTGTTTGCTTATGAGTGTGGGGCACTAGATTAACAAGATTAAATATTCAGGAATTTTTCTGTGTTATCTGAAGGGATCATCAGTTGCAAATGTCTTTTTTTTCTTATCTAAAGTGGCACATTTTCAGCAAAAACTGCGGTTACATAGAAACTGTCAAGTCATTAAGCGATAGTGATAGTAAAACCGGAAGAGGTATAACTTATTTTCAAAATAAGAAGATTTCTTAAGGAAACTCACGATGACTTGCTGGCGTCTTGCGAAAAAATGTTTTATTTTGAAGGCGGTTGAAGCAGTGGAATCGGAAGTGTTTTTGTATGAGATCCTCCCGGTCAGCTGTGCGGCTAAATATCCGTCGCTTAGCCAGCCAAGAAACACATTCAATAAAAAAAGCTATTTTAGGTTTTACATTATGGATAATAATGTAACGCGATACAATGTTCAGCTATATATTTATGATTTATCGAGAGGAATGGCCCGCAGCCTTAGTCCCATCATGTTAGGTAAGTGCAGACAAAAAATCCGGCCTTGGACACAAATAGGGGATTTATTATGTATTAACAGTTTGTATGTAATCATTAGCGTTCAGTGAACCGATGTTTGGTTAAACCATCAAGATTTTTTAATGCATTTATTTTGAAAATATAATGTGAATCGTGACTGATTTATGTTTCTACCTCTTAAGAAATGACTCGGGTCTTGATACAAAACTGATACACTTGTAAGTTACAGCTGCACTGAATGTCGTCTGCTACCGATTCATTTTGTACCCCTTTTTGTTACAGGAAAGCAACTGGATGGTATATGGTATGAACCCTTTTATTTTATTTTGACAGCTGTCTTTTTGATATCTAAAACGACCTCTTGAGTTGTGAAAACATTGCAAGTCCAGGCCATTGACCCATTCATTATCACAGAAAACACATGACTTAATATAATATAATACTGTAATGTTGGAAACAGTTACTCGAAATGTGACTATTTCTGTCCTTAATTTAAAGCTGAAACCAACGATTATTCTCATTATTGATTAATTGACAAGAATAAAAAAAGAAGTATCTATTTTTCAAAATCCAAGGTGACTCTCATTGTCTTGTTTTGTTAGTCCAAAACCATAAAATATATAATAAAAAGTAAGATTCTGAAAACAGCTAATTTGTTCATACAAAATAAAACATTTCATAAAAATAAGCAATCAGTGATTTGCCATTTATTTTTGTGACATTAAGCTAATAAATAAAAGAACTTATTGTTAGCAGCTCAAACTTATTTTGTTATTGAGTAATGTTTTTGTATTTAGCTTAAAGTAATTCAAAAAAAGTAGAGCATCATTTAACAATATAAGAGATTGTATTGAAAACAATTATAATACATACTTTGGGAGTTCATTATAACAATCAATTGATCAAATGCTGGGTTTTTAATTTGTATTACTGTGTATTGCTATGAGTTATTAGGTTGGCTAACTGGTTTATAGCTTGCTTTTTTGTAAAGAGACACTTAGTTACAATTTTAAATAAATACAATTCCACTGTTCTGAGCTTTACTTACATCTTTGATAACTGTGTGCTTTCTCACAGGCACACAGCAATAGTGGCATACGGTGAGGAGTTCTTCTACGGAGGGGAGGGGATCTCCAGCTGTCCGCCGGTGAGTCTGTGTAAAGGGGACTGACTCCTTTCACAACTCTCAGTTATTTTCCACAAGCTTATTAAGAAAAAGTATGCAAACAAAAAGTGACAGCAGAGAGATTTATCAACATTTCTTAGTTTGATTTTTTTCGCTAAGATTATAACTCTTGAAAACTTGAATTATAAAAAAAAAAAAAAAAAAGGTTTTACTTTAGGTAATGTATACATCTATAAGTACAATATTTACGTGTAGTGTCTTACAATATTTATCGAGTTTTACAATTCATTTTCCACTTCAATAATGTGTTATTGAAGTGGCCTATGATAGTGTGGATTTACAAACAGGGAGTCTGTAAATCCACATAGTATTGGTGAAAGGAAACAACTGAATCAACTAGTTTTTCCCTGCTCATGGATGTCATATGACGTGTATGTTATGAGATGTTTGTTTACTGTGTGTTTGTCAGGGTGGGACGATGCTGGGTCCTCCAGACACAGTGGTGGAGCTTGGAGAGACCGAAGTAACTGATGAGATCTTCATGGAGTACCTTTCTTCCCTGGGAGAAAGCACATACAGGTCGAGTAACTGCTAAATAGCTGTTCTTCAAGGCAAATCAAGACACATAGTATTCATCTTAAAGAAAAAGGGATTCTCAACAAGTTGAATTGTCGTATCGTAAGTCTAATTTCACAAATCTACTGAAAAACTATTATTTGATATATTTTGTCCTTTTTTCTCTTGGTTCAGAGGAGACAGGTATCGTCTGTTTGAGCACAACTGCAACACCTTCACCAACGAGGTGGCTCAGTTCATGACGGGCAACTCCATCCCATCCCACATCACCGACCTCCCATCAGAAATCCTCTCCACGTGAGTGTTGAACTCAATCTGTCCGCTCCCTGTGACTCCAATCGAAGGTTTAAGAAAATACAATGCAAAATAGTCACAATAATATGAATAATAACATATGTGAAAATAGCTTAGCTAACATCAAGCTTCTGGAAAATGTAGTTATAATTAGAAGTGGTTTACTACTCCCGAAGTCAGTAGGGGCTTGGACTGTGAGCCGCAGGGTCGCCGGTTCAAGTCCCCGAACAGACCTAAATATGGAGTGTGGACTGCTACCGGACACCCCCCTTCCCCCCCTCACTCCCATTGCAATAGCTGCCCACTGCTCCTAGTACTAGACTCCTGGTACTAGGATGGGTTAAAAGCAGAGAACACATTTCACTGTGTGCTGTGTGCTCTGCATGTGAGACCATTACAGAGGGTTTCATCCCTCCCAATATTATTATATGTAAACTATCCATTCTATGTGTCTGGGTCAACCTGCTGTCATACAATCTTAAATGAAACTGCCAAAATGTAGCTAAACAAATATGTTTTATGCAGAAAAATGTATTAACCCAGCAGGAAGACCAATTTCTCAATGTCGAGTATACCTGCTGCAGAGCCACTATTTCAAGTATGCATTTCAACAGTCCTTCAGCGCCACTCAATGACGTAGTATACTTGAAATAGTGGCTCTGCAGCAGGTATACTCGACATTGAGAAACGGCCCAAAGCAGGCACATTCTTTTAAAATGCATGAATGAAAAGGGGTTTAAATGTATGGTTTAGGCAACAAAAAAAAAGGCCCGGTAACCAAAGAAAAAGCGTTTCTTTTATTCTTTTTTTTTTTTTTTTTAAA